TTGCATTTAGTATCTGGAAGAAAAGAAAGTGTTTTCCATGACTTGAATCAACTAGATCTCCTCTAACTTGCATGGCTTTTTGAGGTCTGTGCGCATCACCAATGGTACATTGCTAATCACGGAGATAAGGCTGGGGACCAGCTGACTGCCGCAGCCCAGTTCACAGTAGTGCCCTCCACGGACGCCCATGGTGGGCATTCCTCTGCAGAGAAGGCAGAAGCTGTGCTGATATGTTACAGGAGTGTGTCAATAGAGCTAGCTACCCACACCCTCAGAAAGCTCATCAGTGCTTGAAAGTTTGTTGTTTATGTCAAAGTTTATTAGCGTCATTTGTTCATTCAGCAGTTACGATGTACGCTTCATACCAAGCGGAGCTCAGCAGCAAGTCTGATACCGTGCTTATCTTCCGAAGCTATATGCCAGTAGAAGAGGCAGGTACCACACAAATGTGACAAGTACAAAGATTGATAGATAAATGCCGTCAAGCCAACTCCAGCTTAGGGTGACCTCCTTACAACAGAGTGAGACATTGCCTGGTCCTCTGCCAGCCTCACAGTTGCCAGCATGGTCAAGTCCATCTCACCGAGGACCTTCTTTCCTCCCCCTGGCCCTCAGCCTCACCACACACGATGTTCTTCTCTACGTGTTCATTTTTCCAGTTAACTTGTCCTGTGTAAGCTCATCAGACAGCATTCTGCTGTGATCCATAAGGCTGTTTTTTTCCCCTTCAAAAAAAAAATAGGTGGCCAAGGCTTTTCCACATTATCTGTCTGAAACCTCTCCACTGTGTGTGAGTTTGCTGGTGTGTGAAATTCTGGTGGTGTAGCTTTCAGCATGATGATGACATATAAGCCACACCAATATAACAAAATTAAAGATGTGTGAGGGTGTGGGAAACTCATTTGCAGCAGGGTGGTTCAATAGGGGCTCACCTACAGGAGGACGATTGAGCAGAGGCCCACAGGAAACAAGCAAGGCAGCCGGTGTGCTGTTGAATGGTTTTGTGCATTTTAGGAAGCCCCCCTGAGAGATACTCTATATTGTAAAAGTTTCATCTCTGGGTTGGTTAGTTAAGTTAGAGATGTTTCTTCTCCACAGTGTCCCAGCCTAAGGGAGACCTGTGGCTTGGTGAGACACTGCTTTTTAGAAAAAGAAGGAAAAAAAATGGTACAAAATGTACTTGTTCTGTGCAGGTTCAGCCCATGCCTGGGCCCACAGATGGGGGAGTAAGGAAGGGAAGTGCTGGGTTTTAGCTGCCGCTCACTCCTCCCTCTGGCCACCCTTGAGCGGTGCACAGACCCCTTCCCACAACAGTCCTGTACACACGGGTGTGGGGTAGAGGACGTTCTAGACTAAGGAGATGAAGATCAAACAGTACCATGGTAGGTTCACGTGAAAAGGCCTCAGAGAACATCAGAGAGGCTGGTGACGTTCAGTAAGCAAAAGAGCTCAAAGTAGAGATGAGGTCAGACGTCAGTTCTCTGATGCTGATTACAGTTCAGATGAAATCTTAGATATCTTTTATGCCATAGTTTTCAAAGCACTTTGACATAGGATTGCTGCAGCAGCCCATCTTATCAAGCTCAAAGAGTTAAGTTATTTAACTGTGTAATGCTATAAGCCGATATTGGGGCTTAGAATTTCTCTCCAGTCCTCTGTTCTCATTATACTATATCTCAAAGAGAAGTAATTTTGAAATATGAAGCCTTAAACAACAACAACATTAGAAAAAAAGTCTACTGGTTCCTTTACAGAGCTCTAGTTTTGTAAAAGCAAATTTCTCTAAAGTCACTGTTGTGATATGAAGCCTTTGATTTTTTCTTCTCTCTCTCTGTAATTAGCATCAATAGATTACAACATTTTCTTTTGAGATAACGTCAGTATTTTTCCAATAATCATTTCCATCTATTTTCTAATTTTCAGTGAGTGCTTCAAATGTTATCTTTCACATCATAGCCCATTTTGGAAATGTGGCACATACTGAACTCAAAGCATATAATTGTTAGAAAATTAATAAAAAATATGAGTCTTTCAAATGTCACCTTTCATATGGCAGCACATTTTGGAAATGTGACAACATTTTTTAGGTAACCCAAAGCATGAAACTAACTGCTAGAAAATTAGTCTTAAAAAAATCACAAAACACTTGTTTTAAAAATTATGTGTTTGTATTGTGTAAAACATATCGGTCTGCTAACCAAAAGGTTGGCATTTCAAATCCACGGGAGAAAGACGGCAGTCTCTTCCTATGAAGATTTATAGCCTCAGAAATCTCGTGGAGGGTCGCTCAGTCAGCGTGGACCATTGGGTTCTATATGTATGTGTGTGTTTATAAAATTCAGCTTAAGACCATGAATAAGAACCAACCCACGGCTGAGCCTCTAAAAATAGATTTTCAGAGGCTATAAATCACAGGGGAGGAGATTTCTCATCTTCCTTCTCTTTAGAGCAACTGGTGGATTCAAACTGGCTAATCCACTTTTGGGTTGCTGTGCAGCTCCTGACCCACTAAGGCAATTGGGAACCCAGAAGAGGGTGGATGGTAAGTCTGTTCTATCTCGATGACAGCTGAGTTTTTAAATAAGACTCCTGAAATGACGGACCAGATCTTGATGGTCAGTAATAATCTACTGCTTGAATTGAGTGCTGTTTCCTCTGTTACGGAGCACAATCGTGAAAATGTCTTGTGGCTGTCTTTCAGCTGGAGATGGAGAAGCTTCAGCTCCAGGCCCTGGAGCAGGAGCACCGGAAGCTGACCGCCCGCCTGGAGGAGGAGCGAGGCAAGAACAAGCACGTGGTCCTGATGCTGGTGAAGGAGTGCAAGCAGCTCTCGGGCAAGGTCATTGAGGAGGCCCAGAGGGTGGAGGAAGCCATGGCCCAGCTGGAAGAGGAAAAGAAAAGAAGCAGCGAGCTGGAAGGGGAGCTCTCCGCCGAGAAACGCCGGAGCACCGACATGGAAGCGCAGATGGAGAAACAGCTCTCCGAGTTCGACACCGAGAGGGAGCAGCTGCGGGCCAAGCTGAGCCGAGAGGAGGCCCACACCACGGACCTCAAAGAGGAGATCGACAAGATGAAGAGGATGATCGAGCAGCTGAAAAGGGGAAGCGACAGCAAGCCAAGCCTCACCCTTCCCCGGAAGGCCAAAGATAGGCGTCTGGTTTCTGTGTCGGTGGCAACAGAAGGGCCTGGGACCCGGTCTGTTGCTTGTCAGACCGACCTGGGGATAGAAAGCGCTGAGCAGGCGAAGAAGGTGCCTCTGACAGTCCCTGCCAAGCCGGCCGCGGGGAGCCCTGGGGTTCCTGCAAGCGCCAGAGGGAATGTGTGCAAGCCCGGTGTGGACAGGCAGGCTTCCCACGGGGACCTGGGGGTGCCCTCCCTTCCCACTGTCTCCCCTCCAAATGCAAACAGAATTGAGGAAAATGGGCCCAGTCCGGCCTCAACCCCAGATTCAACAAGTAGCACAGCCCCTCTCCCCAATCCCCCTGCCCCAGCACCAAGCCTGGCATCCCAGAATCACCCCCAGCCTCCTGCGGGCCACAGTTTACATTCACCGTGTGCCAATGCGTCTCTGCACCCAGGTCTCAACCCGCGAATCCAAGCAGCTCGGTTCCGGTTTCAGGGCAACGCTAACGACCAAGACCAGAATGGAAATACCACCCAGAGTCCTCCATCAAGAGACGTCTCCCCAACAAGTCGTGACAACCTCGTGGCCAAACAGCTTGCGCGCAATACCGTGACCCAGGCGCTCTCAAGGTTCACAAGCCCTCAAGTAGGGGGTCCCCCCAGGCCTGGGGCACCCCCTTCAGGGGATGGCAGCGCCCATCCGCCAGCCGGCAGGACCAGCTTAAAGACTCCAGGGACAGCACGAGTCGACAGAGGAAACCCTCCTCCCATCCCTCCAAAAAAGCCAGGGCTCTCCCAAACTCCTTCTCCACCACACCCCCAGCTCAAGGTTATTATGGATAGCAGCAGGGCCTCTACCGCTGGGGCCAAGGTGGATAACAAAACTGTGGCCTCGCCTTCTGGTTTGCCCCAGGGGAACAGGGTAATAAATGAGGAGAACCTCCCTAAGTCGTCCTCCTCTCCTCAGCTGCCACCAAAACCATCCATAGATTTAACTGTGGCACCTGCAGGCTGTGCCGTTTCAGCCCTGGCCACGTCTCAGGTGGGTGCCTGGCGTGCTGCAATCCCGGGACTGAACCAACCTGCATGTTCAGAGCGTCCCCTTGTCATCCCCACCACCATTGCCTTTCGCGCTCCCGTAAACCCTGTTAGTGCCTCCTCCTGTAGGCCAGGTGCCTCAGACAGCCTCCTGGTAACAGCATCAGGTAAAGGGATTGAAATCTTACACACTTTTCTAAGAATGTGGCCTGTCCTCACTTGCCTTGATTTCCTTTCACATTCGCCTTCAAACTTGGTTTCCCTTCATTTGATACTTTTTTCTATTTCTTTCCTCTCATTTTTAATTTTTTCCCCTTTTTCTGGAAGTCTGTGGGATATGGTTATTCATCATGCTATATGAATTGTGGCCTTGTTATGCTAAGTGCTTTCTTCTTTTAAAACAACCTGAAAATAGTGCCTTGGAGCACATTGGAGACCATTAATTTGAAGAGGCTAAAACATTTCCATGAAGGGAAGGCGTGTTCCTTCTTATTAAATATTTATTTCACAAGACATCAGCATTAGTGGGTCATCCCCAGATAGTCTATGTTTCATTTTATGACTTCTGGGAGGACAGTAAGAAAAATCACTTCAACAATTTCATAAAACATGGTCTTTGCAATCCCTTGTTATGCATCAGAGAGCTGGACAATGACTAGGGAGGACAGAAGGAGAATTGACGCCTTTGAGCTGTGGTGCTGAAGAAGAGTGTTGAGGGTACTATGGACTGCTAGGAAAACAAACAGATTCATCCTGGAAAGGGTTAAACTGGGCAGCTCCCTGGAGGCAAGGATTCTGAGTCTCTGTCTAACATACTTTGGAGATGTTGTAAGGAGGGACCAGTCCTTGGAGAGGGACATCATGCTGGGTAGAGTAGAGGGACAGCACAGGAGGGGGAGACCCTCTATGAGGTGGGTTGATTCAGTGACTGGGGTAATCGGGATGGGTGTGTCAGAGGCAATGAGATTGGCACAGGATAGAGCAGAGTTTAGGGCTGTTGTACATAGGGTCGCTATGAGTCGCAAACGACTCGATGGCACGTAACAACAACAACATGAAAATTTCTGGAGTATCATATTGATTAAGATTCCTACCCCCCCCCCATACTTGTTATACTCTCAATTTCAATCTCAGTTTAGGATTAGGAATATTTTGTAAACAAAGAAACACACCAACCCAACTCCAGAAATGGAATATGTGTATTTATAAATCTCTAAATTCAACTTATTTTAGACACTTTACCTTATTTAGAGATGTCATCTTCTGACACTTGAGCGTAAATGGGTAGCGTGGCATGTGGATGTCCATGTCAGATGTGTTTTATTAAATCTGTGAGTCAGGGTCTCCTCACCAGAGAAGCTGATAACTGGATATTCCCCTTTTCATCCAGTGTCAGAGGGCAGAGTGCTTTTTATTTCTATGACAGATGAGTTCTTCACTGCCAAACGTGACTCTAAAATAACGTTAAAGGACTAACATTCTCTGTGAGCCCTGGAGAAGTTGGATCTTCCATGGGATCTTAGATCAGATGCAGAAACCATTGGTTCTAGAGAAAGGGAACTTTCACAGCAGAAGGAAGCTTTTGTAGGTTGGCATAGTACAGAAGGTGTTGGGATGCTAATTGAAAGGGATTGAAATCCACCAGCTACTCCTCCTGAAGTCTCCTCCCAGAAAAATTTACAGCCTTGGTAACCTGCTGGAGGGTCCAGTGAGTCAGACGCAACTTGATGGCAGTGGGTTTTGTGGGTTTGGGTTTTTGATTATTTGAAACTTTCTGACTCTGGGTAGCATCAGCTGTTAACACAGAGGGTTGCTAACTAAATGTTGTAGGTTCAAGTTTACCCAGTCGCACCCTGGAAGGAAGGCCTGATGATCCCGTAAAATGTCAGCTATTAAAAATCTTAATACAGTTCTACTCTTAAGTTAAGGTTGACTTGCTTACTTTTGGTTATTTGAAAATACTTAAAACATAATGGAGAGAGTAGAAATGAGGGAGACGGTGTATTATTCTTGCTAATTACCAGGCATTGAGAGCAGTGTTGTTAGGGATTGTCCAGTCGATGACATTTCAAGGCCCCTGGGAGCAACAGATCTGGATTTTGCCCTGTTGTGCCAGTGAGAGCAGGACACTAAGTTTATCCAATTATTAAGTGTCTGTTTGGAATTAAGCTCCCGAGGATACTAGGTTAGTGTTTTGAGATGCAAAATTGGGAATTGGGGATTATGTCGACTTTGAAATCCGATTGTTGGAATGTATATGGTATCCTTTATGATGCTACAGTTCTGGTGATATATTTTTTAGTCTCTTAAACTGAGCAAAGTGTTCATCCTCAATATGGAGTTCATTGGTTATTGTTCATTTAAGCAGAGGACCTAGAACATTGTAAAGTTTTGAGAACATATTCCTTTAGTGATGTCATTGCTTAATATATATTGAGAATTTTGCTATTGTAATGACTTTGGTATTTCTTTGGGATGCTTTTACTGATAGTGTTCTATATGCTTGACCTGAAATGGTATTAGTCAGCTGGACAATCCTTTTCATGGCCCAGAAAGTCTATTGGCTGCTTCCCAAACACCTAATCTGTTCTCAGAGAAGGAATTTTTCACTACCATTCAGGAAAAGCCAAGAATAGGTTGTAAGATCTTAAAAAAGTTGCAGACAGAAACACAACTTCCAAATTTATGTGAAGCTGGGAAATGCTGATGATCTGAATGTACAGACTATAAAACAAGCACTCCCCGAGATATAAAATGCTGTCAGTTTTTGAAAGCGTAAAGCCGTGCTTGCTTTGCCATCTGATCCTTTGCCAGTTGTTTCCTTGGGCGTGACTGTGGCCCAGGGTTTGACAACACACGCCTTCATTTAGTCATGCAAATATATGAAATAATAGGAAGGAGGGATATTGTACCGGCAAGATTATAAGTTGATGTTTAAAGAGAGAATTCTTTATCTATTCCCCAGCATGACCTGCCTGCATGAAGAGTGAAGTTGTGTATCAAGGAACAGTGACTTTTCTGGAAAAAAAAAAGTCCCTTGTTTATTTTCTGAGAGCACTACAAATAGAAACCACTGATGACCAATGAAACGGATTCATTTTTCTATTTTCTGATTTTGCAGTTTGGCCAGCATATATCCTCAGAACTTCAGATGACTTTTCATGGGATAGCAGGTCTTTGTGCCCTTTGATTAGAAGATGTGACTTAGTAAGGGAGGTTGTTAGCCATTCAGCACCTGTTTAGCACCTAGTTGTTTCTGAGGGAGCCATGGTGACGTGGCTTAGAGGAGGTTGCACTGCCAACTCAAAGGTGGCACCTCGCCCTGTTCAAATCGGTCCATGGCCACAAAGGGGAAAGATGGACCATCTTCTCTCATTCCATTTACAGCCTCTCAAAATCCTGCTTGAGGGTCAGCTATATGTTGGTTCTGATGAGACAGCAATGAAAGAGTTGGTCCTGGGCGGCACAGATGGTTAAGTACTTGATTATTCACTAAAAACTTGGTGGTTTAAACCCACCCTGAGGTCCCTTGGGAGGGTTTAGTAGTCTGTTTCTGGAAGGCCACCACCACGGAAACCATGTAGAGCACAGCTCTGCCCCGATACATGTGGGGTCAACATGAACCAGGACTGACAATGATAGTAGCCGCGATGGAGTCTGTTCAGGGAATAGAAGCATTACCTCAACTGTGTAGTTAGTAGATAATATATAACTTAACCCTGGGTAGAAGTGAGCTAGAACTTGCCCCATGACTTGTAGAGTTTCAGCTCTATTTTCATTTGGATCGTTCCTATTCTTGATAACATAGACATTGCAACTAGGGAACAATAGATTTCCCTCCTTGTAAGTCATATGTCCACTGAAGGCCATTGACCTTAACAGCCACTGATGTGGTGGTTTCATCCACGGCATAGGACAGAGCAGGCCTGCTGAATGCCTTGCTGTGTGTCTGTCTGTCCTGCTTAATTGATGACTGCACTTGGCTGAGTGCAAGGAGGCAGCTTAGTCCACATCTGATCTTTCCATGTGTAACCTGAAAGCGAAGCTTTTCTCCGACTTGTTAGTTTTCCCACCTAAAAGGAAGCACTGAACAAATAAAAATTTCCATACCAAGAGGATTTTGTTAACTCGGTTGAAAAATTTTAGATAGCACTTCTCTGCCTCTCCCTGCTTGGGGGATAACTAGGCCCCATAGTCTCCTTCAAATGAAAAGTCTTTCCTTGTTAACTTAACGGCTGTGACCCCAGACACCCACTGCCATGGAGTCCGTTCCAACTTGTGGCCGTCTTGTAAGAGAAAGTGGAACTGCTCCATGGGGCTTCTAAGGCTGTATGTCTTCATGGAAGCAGAATGCCGCATCTTGGTTCCACAGAAGTGGCTGATGAGCTTCTAGGTTAACAAGTGAGCACTTTAACCCTGACACTACCATACCAGGGTGCCTGTATCTATGACAGAGGAGTTAAAGCACTGAGGAGCATTAGGATGAGAGCAGATGCTATTTTAATGAATTGTAAAGACTGTCTTGGAAGAGGCTGAAACCAGGCTCCTTGAAGCTCCTTCTCACCTAATTTGGACCTGTTTCCAAGAAGGAGAAGCACATCATTTTTGGAAGGGTGGAGGGACAGTGCAGGAGAGGAAGACTCTGGAGGAGATGGATTAACTCAGCGACTGGGTAATGGGGATAGGTGTAGGAAGACAATGAAATTGGCTCAAGATAGGGAAGGGTTCAGAGTTATTGTACATAAAGTGGCTATGAATCGCAGGCAACTTAACATCACTTAACAACAACAACAGCATAACTATCGGTAGTTTTTAAGGCCTGAATTTTAAATTTTTAAGTAACATTTCCAATTACAAATGAATGAGACTATCTTCTTGCTCCCAGACTTGCCAAATGAGCTCACATCAAATGCTACATAAACAGAAGTTGAAGCCAGAAGTCACCCCAGGCCCCTGAGTTTCCATACCCTTCTAAAATGTTTTTCCTTTTTTTTATGTATATAGTTTGGTACATTCATTTCTTTTTGTTAAGTTGTGTTGGGTATTTTCCCCTTTAGTTAAATGTGTATTTTTATTTCTTATTCTCCATATATGATTGGCTTAAGAACTAAATCAGAGACTGAGATTGATCTGAGCTGTGACATTAACCTTCTCCACACTCTGAAGCTGATGCCAGAAGCTGTTCTCAGCGCCTGCGTCTTCCCTCTCTCGTTGCACGTTCTGCATACTCCCTTCCTCATGCTTGCTCTGTGTATTCTCTTCCTTGCTGCATGTTCTGCAAGGTGCTCACCTCTACTAATGTTTGCATCTGACACTGCAAAGCGGCGTGACCTTTGTGTAACATCAGTAGAGTAGCTGGATGAATGAATACAAGCCTGTCCTGTTCTTCCTTAACAACCACTTACTACTCAGTTGCATCTTACCATTCTTATCATGGTTGGGAATGTTAAATGAAGCATAAAATCTCATTGGGAAATTTTATTTTTTTGCTGCCTTTATAATAGGATTTATCAAAATAATAAGACAAGTTTTGTTAGTACTAGACAAAATTGGAAATGGTAGTGAAAGTTATAAAATCTGTTTAAAGGTAAACAATAATTGCTATTTTAAAAAATATTTTAATGAAACATTTTTTTTCTGGTAAAAGATTCTTAAAATATCTTACAGTCCTCTAAGAAATAAGGAAATTGATCAGTCTTTTTCTAGAATTCTGGGTAGTAGATCTAAAAGAGAAACAACATTTTTTTTAAGTAAAATAACTTACAGATAATTTGATATTAAAACTATTGTTTACCAAGATATGGTCATCATTGTTGAATATTTCCGTACAAGGCAGTTTAAAAATATATTTAAATTGTCTCTCCCAAACCTAGACTTGTAGTTAAAAAGAAAGAAAAAAAACCGAAAGTACAGCAAACTGTCCAATATACATTTGTAGATATTCTTAAGAGAATATCAATAACTATAATCTATTGTGTGCAATCTCAGTACAGAAATAGAAATAGAAAGAAAGAAAACTATTCAGACTCTGGGAGCCATGTACTGCTATTCCATGGAAGACCGGAATGCAGTGCTCTCAGAGTGCCTTTGTGTTTGCTTTGTGGCCGAGGCTTTCTGCCCTGGTGTTTATAACTTCTCTGTTTAGTATTCATTTCTAATAAGTACTGATTTAATTTTTGTGGGCTTGTGTTTTTTTTTTGTTTGTTTTTAAGAAAATACAAAAGGTAAAATGTACCAGAGAGGAGCCTTCTTGTAAGTATGAAGTAAAAATACTATTTTTGTAAGAGGAGATAATATCAATGGGAAAATATCATAAAGTATGGGTGAATACTTAATTTTTATTAGCATTTGGGTTTTGTATGTCATGCAGTCTAATACGGTTAAAATGATCATAGACCCAAATAAGTGGTTATGAGGATAGACTATCCAGCTTTTAATAAGCAGTCTAGTTTCATTTGTGCAAACTGGTCTAATCTGGGGGAAGGTTGGCACAAAGATTTTTCCAGTACAGATTCCTTGCTATGTACTCTTTTAATATTGAGGCCAGGAGTTTACAAGTCAGCTGTAAGAATTGAGGATTAGATGCATATCGATATAATATCCACATTCATGACTACTGTCCTGATACTAGTGTGCAAAAGGATCAAATATGCATCTGTTGTATTTTATTACGGGGAAGGTTACCAGATACATGTAGAAAGTCTGCCCTGCTCAGTGATGACTATATATACCCACAAATGCAAACCAGTATTAGGTATTTGGGGTGTCACAAAGGAATAAAGAAGTAAAAGGACTGCTTTTAAAAATTAGCTGTATTGAAGCCTAAAGTAAGCAATACACCACATTAAATAAATATTTTTACTGTTTTTACAGCCTTTTGATCAAGGAAGAATTGAGAAAATTTTCCATGCTATATGCAGTCGGCTTCACACACTTAACCGATTTTCTCCTAAAGCTGCTAAATACTGATGCGACATACCTAATTGATAACTCTTAAAATTTTTGTTAAAAACTGTATAGCGGAATATCCTCTTTGTTGGCTGATTCAAAGTTTGTGTTATACGTGTTGTAAAGGTGATCAAATGATGCTGTCTGCAACCTTATGCTTTGGATTCCTGTCCTGATACTGTCAAGATACAATAATGGATGCCATGTCTGTATTATCTCTTAATAGTAGTCAGCCCCCATGATTCCTGCCCCACCCCCCAATAGAGGCTTCTAAAGAATCTAGATGGATTTCTTCATAGTATTTGATCCATCTTGTTCATATTACATGTTTAAAGAGGTCCTCTGGAAACATTATTGAGATATGAAAAGCTCTTTTTTTACAGTTCTTTCTATTTTGTGCCTAAACATATTGGCTTACTTTTTCAGGTTAAGAGGAGCTCTGGTGGTGCAGCCTTAAACACTAGGCTGCTAATGGAAAGATTGGCAGTTTGAATCCACCAGTAGGGCCATGGGAGGGAAAAAAAAACCCCAAAAAAACCCTTGTGATCTGCTCCCCTAAAGACCTCAGCCTTAAAAGTACCCCTGTGGAGGAATTCTACTCCATCAAATGGGGTCGCTGTGAGTGGGAACTCAACTGTACAGCATCTCACAGCATACCTAATTTTAAAATTCAAGGGATCTTCAAAGTCTTGCAAAGGAATTTGAGCTTTTAAAATGAGCCTGCCATCACGAGCCCGCCACCTTAGTCACAAACCTAACATTTACCTGTAGGAAACTGACAACTAAATATAATTTGTCACCATGTAAATTTAAGTAGCAGCAGATGCGAAAGCTGAAATGACAGTGTAGACTTGTGCTAAGTGAAAATATGAACAGATCGATAATGTTAAAAACCACATAATCCTTGGGATACATGTTCATGTGTTTATGTGTGTGTGCGTGTGTTTGAGTGAGTGTAATTCAGAAAGGAGTAAGACAGTGTCTGTCTCCTGCATCTGCTCTCACTGTCTAATTAGGGTCACTTTAACCCACAGGCTGGTCACCCTCCCTAACCCCTTTGCTAATGAGTGGTGGTCCTGCCCCCCTGGCTGGCAGGCCCACCCTTCTTCAGCAAGCTGCTGCCCAGGGAAATGTCACTTTATTATCAATGCTGCTTAATGAAGAAGGACTGGACATTAATTACTCCTGTGAAGATGGCCATTCTGCCTTGTATTCTGCTGCTAGGAATGGACATACAGGTAAAGATGACGATATCTTATCTTGTTACACTCACACATGCAAAAGGATGAGCTCTGTTAAAACCACTGTGGGCAAGGTTTTAAGTTACATCTTACAGGTAGTAGTGCATAATTCGTTTTCATGAACTTCAAAGTTTTTGTACATGTGACAAAATCCCAATTGCACAGTAAGTATTTTATTGTGGCTAGCAAAACGTATCTTTGTTTTATGCACAATGACATTCATGGTGCATGTAGGAATTGCGGGAATAGAACCATACAGCACATTTTAAAATAAAGCCCTCCATCTGTGACTACTTTAGTCGAAACAGAACAGCCCTAATTTGTGGGTTAGAAATCCTGATGTTAGTGAAAGCCTGGCATCATGATTCTAGCACATGCTGCAGTGAGGTAAAATGTTAGTAGTTAAGGAAAGGTCAGGAGTCTGAAATTGTTCAGTCATTGGCATAATTTATAGCTATTTAAATTTCTTTTTTTTGAGAACTGAGAAGTTGTATAACTCTAAATGGCATATTGATGAAATCTGGAAATTATTCGTGTTCCTTAAAATGCAAATTCTTTATTCAGATATATGAAAACATATGGTAGTATGGAAAAAAGACATGATTTGACTGCAAATGCAAAGTCACAAAGCATCACATATGTGAGCCATGTGATGGTGGATTAATGTAGTAATGTGGCTTCTTGAAAGGTTGTCAGAGCCTGAATGTGTTGGGGAAGGGACTTAAGAGAAGATTCCAATGAGCTAAGAAAATAGCTCGTTATTTTAAAATACTTTGGGTGCCTCTTTATTTTAAAAGCACTTTAGACACTTTTTTTTTCATTAAATGTAGTAAATAGCATGAAGAACATAAGATTTTGATCTACTTATGCCTGAGCATAGGGAATTTTCTTGAGCTTTTATAAAATCCCCATCCATGGAGTTAAATCTGGAATGACCATGACATAAAAGCATTTTAAGAATGAAAATGAAATATCATAGCACTTTGGTGAGGTGTTGTTTTTTTTTTTAAATAATAGATTTTAAATTAAGCTATTGAAATGTGAAGAATAATTTCATTTGGGTAAATGGATTTAGTTCTCTATCCAAAAGCATTGTATCCTGGGACAGGCTAGGGGAAGGGTCTGATAAAACAATTTTTAAATTTTGACATCCTTTCCCTCCAGACACACACACACACACACACACACACACACACACACACACACAGAGTCATATCTTAGTGAGCTTGTTGTTATGTGCTGTCAAGTCAATTGCAACTCATACTGAGCCTGTTGTTGTTACGTGCCGTTGAGTCACCTGCGACTTCATCTCTGAAGCCTGCCCTGTCCTGAGCCAGCCTCACTGATTCCGACATATCTGTCCTCATTGCCCCAGTTACTGTATCAGTCCATTTCATCTGGGGTCTTCCTCTCCTGTGCTGTCGCTCCATTCTTCCAAGCTTAATGTCCTTCTCCAAAGACAGGTCCCTCCTGGCCATGTGCCCAAAGTATGTGAGACAGAGCTTCAATATCCTAGCCTCTAAGGAGAAAGATGATTTCACCCTCGACAGACCTGTTTGTTTTCTTGGTGGTTCATGGTCTGTTCAAGACTATGAACAGTAGATCTGTGCCCCAACTTATTTTAGACCATCCTCACCATTGCCCGCATGCTTGAGTCCATTAAGAAATGACAAACACTGGGCAGAGAAGCTGCCTTTAACTGTAGAATTGTCTGTGGAGTCTCCCACACCCAGAATTGTCAGGTGAGCTGTGTAGGGGAGAGTTCTGCCTGTGGATTCAGCATCTCATCTACAGCTTGTATAGAATTTGTCTGGCACTAACTCTAAGCAGCGAATTGAGATGGCTTTCTATTAAAACCCGCAGACTGTGTGAGATTGTTGCTGAATGCAGAAGCCCATGTCGATGCTGCTGATAGAAATGGCTTCACACCCTTGTGTGCTGCAGTTGCTCAGGGACACGTCAAGTAAGTGGTGTTCTTCATTCTGGTTTTCTGGGAGAAGAGCTTCTTTTTATCCTCTGCACACATATTTTCGTTCTGGCTGAATGTGTAAACTGGTGCTAAAAATCCGCTGGCAAACAAGCTTACTCAATGCCTTTGAGGACTTTACACTTCCTTTTCTTGATGCTAATGACGGCATAGAGGAGAGGAAAGATGAGATACATGTTGTGTGTCCACACTCCACATGAATGAACTTTATCCTGAGGAAGAGACTCTATGTTAGTTCTGTCACCATAGACAGAGCACCATAAGGGGGTAGGGATGGAGTTTTCATTCATTGTTTTTCAGCATTGCAACACGTCCTCATATAGTGTGTATACTTCATAATGACATTGAAAATAAAAGTTACATGATTCATAACCACTATAATCTCTAAAGGCCATTTATTCATTATTGCATTCCAATTACGCATATTTTTAAAAAATCTTTTATAACAGCGGTAATGGTGTTTTGCTGCTGAATAGGAACCCATAGCTGACCCTCCAGCTGGTTTTCAGAGGCCGTAAAGGACGCAGCAGGAAGTTGCCCCTCCTCCTGTGGAGCTGGTGGATTTGAACGGCACACATTTGGGATTGCAGTGCAGCTTACCATTTAGCCACCAGAGCTCTATTGTGGAGCTTTATATGCTAAAAATACAAAATTGAATAGAACTTAGTCATTAAAATGCACATAACTTTAGCAACTCCTTTTATAGTATTGCTATTGAAAATTATGAAGAATATTTTAATATTATAGAGAGCTCTAGTGGCAAGAAGCTTTGCTGCAATCCCAAAGGCCCGTGGATTGAATCTCCCAGCTGCTCTGTGGGAGAAAGATGGGCAATCCCCTCCCGTGCAATTAACTGCCCCTGAAATCCCACCAGAGGGTCAGTTATGGGTTGGTTCCAACTTAATGGTACACAACAACAACAACAACAACAACATGCTGCTTTTTATCTTTTTCCCAATGACTGTAAAATCCATGATCATTCTTAACGAGCCCAATATACTCCATACGGCTTTCAGTGACTAATTATTCAGAGTTACGTCACCAGGCCTTTCTTGCAGGACACCTCTGGGGTGGTTTGAACTGTAAGCCTTTCAGTTGCCACCTGAGCACATTAACTATTTGCACCACTAGGAACCCCACAGACAGGAATAGCTTGTGGAAATGGAGAATCTGGGGAAAGTAGATAGTGAGACATTTAAACAAATGATCTTGGTGGTGATGGTGGTGTGCCATTGTTGTTGTATATCTTTGAGTCTGAGCTGACCTTCCAGTGGATTTTCAGAGACAGTTTTAATTGCACAGGAGAGGATTGCTCATGTTCTCCCACAAAGCACTGGTTGGATTTGAACCACATGCCTCTGGGATGGCAGTGTATCTCCTTACCCCTAGGCCACAAGAGCTTCCTGTGTGCCATTGTTCTTGTGTGTCTTTGAGTTGGAACCAAATTTAACTGATCCTCCCTTGGATTTTCAGAGGCAGTTAATCACACAAGAGGCGATTGGCCATCTTCCCATGGAGCAGCTAATGGATTTGAACTGCATTCCTAAATATTTGATACAGCTCACATGTGTCAATGTATAATCAATCTATTTTATCGTTAGTCAAATATTGCCAGGCTGAGTTAGGAAATCCCATACATCTAAGTGGCATAAATAAATGTGTTATGAGTTACTTCCTAATTCGTTCATGATTTAGCCCATCTTGCTAAGTTTACTCTCAACTCATTTTACCAAGTAAAATTCTTTGCATTAGCTTAGTTATGATAAATGCCAAGAAGTCTTGAACTGATCTCCTTTTAACCCCTTCTGGATTCTCAGGTGGTGAGTTCTCCCTGGCTGTCTCTTTGCCTTATCCTCCCAGGAGATAGAACAGACTCCCTGGCTTTTCCCCCCAAGGCGGCCCTTTGCTCTGCCTCTCACTGCCTTTTATAGAGGAGCACAGGGTGCCCTGCTGTCTACGCTATTTATAATTCTTTTCTCAAGTGGGTTTCTCAGAATAACTCAGCAGCCTGCCTTCTTTAACGGTTGAAATGGTGCTGAACCACAAATAATATAGATGTCAGGCTCCGTTAGGCCATTCATTCCAGTAAGTCAAACAGATATTCCAAGGACTCTAGTTTTACAAGTTGGTTTCAGAGAAATGTCGTAAACTAAGTTTTCACACTTGATCAAAGCTGCAATTTTAAATTTCCATGGGAGTCATTAAATTCCATGGTTGGAATCTATTTTTCTAGCCTTGTTAAAATACCAAAACCAGGACCAGTTGTTATCAAGTTGATTCCCATGCCCAGTGAGTTCCTCCTGTTAAAATATAGTACTCATGTGTTCAAAAGTCAAAATACACACACGCACACACACACACACACACACACACACACACACACACGCAGATACTGCATATAAATAAAAATGCAGGATTGCTTTTGCATTTTTTCTGTATTTACTATCTAAACCTTCAGAGGTCAGACTTTTTATGCAATTAATAACAGTTTGTGTTTAGGTGTGTAGAATTATTCAAAAGTCAAAGTTTTTATGTAATGACTTGCAATCTTGTGTTTAGGTGTGTAGAATTATTAATTGCATATCATGCTAACATTAATCATGCTGCTGACGGAGGACAGACACCTCTCTTCCTGGCCTGTAAAAATGGAAATGAAGAATGCATTAAACGCTTATTGGAAGCTGGAACTGACCGAAGTGCAAAAACCAGAGTGAGTCTGAATTTTATGGTTTCTCCCATACAGGCAGATTATAGGACATCTGCAAAACTCTGAAGCTAGAAAAGCAAAATGTGTTAAGAAGAGAGGTTGGCTTTCTTGGATTTTAACTTTCTGGATGTTATATTTGGAAAATGCCCGACTCCTGGATGCATCTCTTCTCTGTTAATCAGAGCCTTGTCCCTAAGGGTAACCAGCCTTTGAGCCTCTGAGCCTCAGCTTATTCCTCTGAATTCCTCTGTTTGCATTTGTCATGTTGTTCAGAATTAGGAGAAGTGATATAGCAGCAGCTGTTTTGGGATCTAGAGAAACAGCATTAGACTAGACAGCCCCCACCCTCAATGATGTTACATCCCAGCAGGTAGAGGCTTAGTCTACAATCCACAAAAAGCAAAAATTAGATGGTAAATTGGATATTTAAAAGCCATGATCTAGAGAATAAATATAAAGTCAAAGAGAGCTGTCACTGGGAGTGGGGAGAAGGGTGTTATTTGAAGAATTAGTCAGACAAATCTTCAATGAAAATGTGACACTGGACTTAATATCTAAAGGAATGAGTGGACCCTGAAGAGACCAGGAGAGGGCGTGCCAGGAACTGGAGCAGAAGTGATGCCCTTGGAGGCTGAGAAGTCCCCCTGCATTTTGTTGGATGGACCCAAAGGGTTAAGAGGAGTACATAACCTTCTACTAGGATCAGTTGTTCACTGCATCTCAGCATTATTTATGTGTTTCCAGATTCCCAGGTTGTTAACACAGGATCACCCTCTCCTCCCCCGAACATATTGCCAGTGAAAGACAAGTGTACACGTAATTTTGCTTTCCAAAGGTCATCTGCACTTTGGACCTTTAATTTACTACACTGCTTCCCTTTCAATGACAACATCCTGTAGTCTTCATCAGTCCAATACAGCAGGCCTTTTAGAGCAATTTGCCTTTTGGTCCACATTTCTCTCCCCTTCTATCCAGGGATTTCTGTTGTGTCTCTGATCAAATGGTCAATAGTGGTAGCTGGTTCGTTTGTTCTGCAGGTTGACATTGTGAGCTCTTAGTCATGTGGATTTGTTTCTTCTTTGAGTCTTTAATCTCCTTTTCTCTTTTATTATGGACAAATAGAAAATTATAATTATGTCTCACATAGGTCGGCACTAGCTTTTAAGAGCCCAGATTAGGATGTAGGACATTATGTTAATGATCTTTGATATACCAGTTGACCAATGTGCTCCGTAAGACTCTGCTCCTCTGCATTTCGGAGCATTAGCCCAGTCTCTTGTGACAAATGTATCTAGTAAGTCTCTCTTAATGGTGCCTCCTATGTGCTGTATCATATACATGATTATAAATGCAGCACATGCATCTCTATGTATAAGGTTTAGAGGTCTACAGATACACTTGCACACATGGTACTTTTCTACAACCATGCATGTAATACATAACCACATATGTAATTGTATACTACACATTTTTTTTGTTATTACTGTTGCAAACTTACGTAGTATAACTATTTACAAAAATTTCACCTTCATTCTTCTGTCTTTGTCTACCTTGGTAAGGTAGAACAGACGGCACCCAATCCAATATTCCCTTTGACCGAAGAGAACAATTAGCTGAAATCTAGAAAGTTATTCCACCTACTTCCTTTCCCATCCTTGATAACCAGCAAAGAATGTTACTTACTGTGGCATTACCTATTCTTGATTTTTTGATAAAAGTGAGACTATATTATTTGCCGTTTTGTGAGTCACTTATTTCATGTCTTCCAGAATGGTCCATGTTACAGGATGTTCCATAGATTGATCATTACTCTTTATAGTTGCGTAGTATTCCATTGTATGTGTATACCATAATTTGTTTATCCATTTTTCTGTTAATAGACATGTAGATTGTTCCAGTCTTTTTGTTCTTGTGAATAAAATTACAGTGAACATAGCCAGGCACTTGTCTACTTGTGCTAAAAATCTCTTTATTATATTCTTCCTTAGTGTGTACACTCTCCTTTAGTATTAAATTGACGTTTTGAGTTACCTTGTTTCTTTGTCACTTAAGGTCTTGGCCAATACTTGCTCACTTTGCACAGTTATACTTTAGGTAGAAATGGTCCAAAGGACAGTAAACTTTAGTCTTAGAAATACAGTCAATGAGAGAAGTCCAGGAACTTCATCTAGCTTATGGGCTGTATTAAGAATTGGAATGTCTGCTTTTCTCAGCTGAGTGATCCATGCGCAAGAACAGTTAGGGGTGGACTTTTCACAAGATTCTTCTCAACATTAATGCTGTGACCAACCCTGTCCTCGGTCACTTTGTTTTCAGGACGGCTGGACACCACTTCATGCAGCTGTGGACACTGGTAACGTGGAGAGCCTCAAGCTCCTTATGTACCACCCAGCACCAGCCTGTGGAGACGAGCTGAATGAGCAGGAGCCCAAGGCGGGCGTGTTTGACTTGGATGGAGGAGAAAGTCCTGATGGGACAGCCAGGCCTGTTGTTCCCGCGGACCTTATTAACCACGCCGACAGAGAAGGCTGGACTGCTGCCCACATCGCTGCTTCAAAAGGGTTTAAGGTGCGTCTGCTGGCAGCTGGCCTCATCCCACCGCTGTAATTTGATGAGTGGAAGAGTTGTCTGCTATTAACTGACTGTATTTAAATTGACTAATGCAAAGCTGAGTGATACTGTGGTGGGAGATTATTAGCTATCAGGATGAATTGATTTTTTTTTTATCCCATCAAGAAATTTTTATGGTCAGATGAATAAAAGATTTTAGTCAACCTTGAGATTTTTTTTTTATTTGTCAGTAAAAAATGTGAGAGTAATTTTAAATATTTTATCCTAGTTACAATTAACAGGAAATTGATAACTGATTTAGTAGTTTGGGTAGTTTTCTCCAGAATACTACTAGGCAGAGGAAGGGCCAGGATCCACACCAGAGCTCATACCCATGCCCTGAGCTGTCTCTGTTAGCCCTCCCTGTGCTCCCAGAGCCCTGGTGGTGCAGTGGATTAAATGCCAGGTTACTAACCAGAAGAATGGCCATATCAACCCCCCAGCCATTCTTCAGGAGGAAGGTGGAACAGTCTGTGCTCAGAACGATTTACAAACCTGGAGCTCAGTGACGCAGTTCTGCTTTGTCCCGTGAAGTTGTTCTGAGTTGGAGTCAACTCGACAGCAGGAAGTTAGATTTCAGTTTTGTGCTCTCTCACTGACGATGATAACGCAAGAGGGAATTCTTACTTTAATTAGTCAGTTGAAGTAAAACATTCTTCATTCTAGAGATATAAAAAATGTTGTGGTAGAGTTTCTTTTTCACTCATACATTCTTTTCTGTTAAGAAAATTTTGACAGTAGTGAACGAACCATAAACCTTTTAGCACACTCTTGGTGCAAGTTAAGGGCCTTGCGCTTTTCAGGTGCTTGACTCTTAACAACTGACTTAAAGGCTGGTGGTTCAAACCCAAGTGATGCCATGGAAGAAAGGCTTAATGATCTGCTCCCCAGAAATTAGTCACTGAAAACCCCAAGTGTGTGGAATGTGCTTCTGTTCTTAAGCACGTGAGGTCCTCCAGAGTGGGGTTTAGTTCAGGGGTGTAGGCGTAGGCATCCACGACACTGGGGATATTGATACTTGCAGCTGTTGCTTTTGCCACTACGTGGCTTCCAGCTCATTAGGTTGCTTCTAGTTCCGTGGCAGGGATGTATAGATTGAAAGAAGCACAGAAAATTAACACAAGCAACAGATATGTGGCTGATACCACATAAAAACACGATGATTGCACTAGCTCTGGTGGCCTAGTTGTAAGAAGCTACACTGCCAACCCAAATGTATGCAGTTTGAATCAACCCAAAGGTATGCAGTTTGAATCTACCAGGCTGCTTCTTGGGAGAAAGATGAGCTGTCTCCTCCCATGTGGTTTACGGCTTCTGAAAATACACTGTATCAGCTAGCAGTTCCAAAAAACAACCTAACAACCTATTATATATAGTGGAACACATATTTTAGAAAGCAGAGTTGCAGGGACATGAAGCCCAGAAACAATTCATTTGGAAGAAATGAGAATTATTTGGGGCTTTGTACAATGGGTTAACTTTCCCACTCTGAAAGGGAAAGCAATTCAGGGAGAGGAAACAGCTGGAGTAAAGGTGCAGGATCAGAGAAGTGGAGAATACTCCGTTGAATAGTGAGGAGTGGTGAGAAATAAGACCAGACCAGGAGTTTGTGAAAGAGCCAGGCATGGGACTTCAATGCTGTATGTAGGAATTCATTTAGTAGCCAAAGCCATGGAAAGGTTCTAGAACAAGGAGCTAAGTAATCAATTCTATACTTTAAAATAATTAATATTACTTGGATCTCTTCATTGTTGTTAGGTGCTGTTGACTCAGGTGTGACTTATAGTGACTCTGTGAACAACAGATCTGTACCCTGTCCCATCCTGTGCCATGCTCACAATCAAGCCCACTGCTGCAGTCATTGTGCCAGTCCACATGGTTGAGAGTCTTTCTCTCCTTCACTGTCCCTCCACCTTCCCAAGCGTGAAGTCCCTCTCCAAGGAATAACCTCTCCTTACAACATGTCCTAAGAATGTGATAGTGAAGCTTTGTCATCTTTGCCTCCCAGGAGCATTCTGGCTGTACCCCTTCCAAGACATGTCTGTCTGTTCTTTTGGCCATCTGTAGGATGTTCACTCTCCTCCATGAAAGTGTCAAGATCTAAGGCTATGTAACTGTTGGTGGCAGGAGAGATAGACTACGGGCAAGATTACAGCAGTGGAAGTAATGAGAGATATTAAGGACAGAACATGTCCGGGAATGGAATGCTGATTCATATGGGAAATAAGGGAAGAGAAGAGAAAGATGATGATAGGGAACGTTCAGGAAGAGAAAAGAAGCAGCACCGTGATAATGAAGACGATAGAACGAGTTGTTATACATGCTGAGTTTAAATGCTAGGATTTACCCATCTGGATGGAGACGGCCGGCGAGAGCTGGAAATGATTTTGTAGCCCCTGATTGGGCAACTTCCTGCTACTGTGATCCATGGCAGAAGCTATTCCTTTTGAATCTAGACTTTAAAAAGATGAGTGATTCTGTTCAATGAAGATGGATTTGTTATTAGGGGGTTTTGTCCATTTTACAGCAAAAACAATAAAAAGTATGGTCAGTTGGTAGGGAACAACATTAATTTGAATAGAATGCAATTGCCGTTGACCTCAAAGTCTTTAGGAGAAAAAGGTGGAAAGAGTGAGAAGTTAAAATCTGATGATGCATGAATCTTTGCCCATGAATCTCACTTGGTGATAAGAGTAGAGTAGGCAAGTTAGATTGCAACCTCCCTCCTCTACCCTCTACCAGAACATCCCCAGATGTGACGGGAGATGTGACTGAAAGAAGTGGATTGTGCTTGTGTGGCCTAGAGGCACAAAACAATACCCCTAAATGTTCCTAGTCCAGGAAATTCAGCCACTTAGTCAAAGGCAAAGAGTGGAGCCCTCTCCCCAGGGCTAAGCTTTTCCAGGAATGGAGTACATTCCTGCCATGTAGAGTGATCGTATTGTTACTCATCTCTTTAATTATGAACTCCTTACGAGTTCTGGGATGTGTGTGGTCAATGATGGTGTTATCCTAGATGCTGAGGTCCCTGGTAACCCGTGGATGCTTAGCTATCATTCAATGAAGGGAAATAAAGTCATCTCATTCTCAGAGGATGGCTGTCCCGTGCGCTCTTACAGTAAGATGAATTTTGGACAAGAATAGGGAAATTTTTAAAAGTGAGTATGATTGACAACATTCTCCTATGTCTAAGCTATTAAAAGAATAGATTTTTTTAGCCCTGGAGTGGATATTTAATCTTCCAATCTAATCACTTTATGATTACGGCAGTTAAGCTCGAGAGAGTGTAGATAGATAGAGGTTGGGAATGAAGCCCAGATTCCTGAATCTATTGCTCTTTAAACTACACCATGTTGTCCGCCCTCCTGATGAAAGGTACGAGAAAATCTTTTTGCATCACATGTATTTAATGTTTACATTTTTGCTGAAATGGATCTCAAGAAAGGCAATCCACTGACAGCTAAATCACAAAGACCAGTTTTCTGAAAATGTAAATTGTGAATCTGGGTTAACCATTGTATTGATAAAAAGATCACACATTGTCCACAAGCAGGACTTAAACAACTACGTTATTTCTGTACCTTATTGGTATTTGTGAGATGTCAACAACTTTACTATGCAAAATATAGGCTACTTTGGTTTCCACTTTGTTTTCACAAAAGAATTGTGTTTCAGAGCTTGAGAGGACGTTACTCATGATCCAGTCCACCCTCATGTAGCAGAAGAATCTTGGGAAATGGTGTAACTAATTTCCCAAGACAATCAGATTCCTCAATCAGTGCCTTTTCCATTTTAGTCTTTGGTTATTTTCCCACTGGTTAAGAAATATATACAGATCCTTGGCTCGTGTTTGATACTTGAAGTGCCTTTCTCGAAAGCTGGCCTGAGACTCTTAAGAGACTGTTGAACTCATTATTGAGGATCAGACTTTTGTTTAGCCTCTCTGTACAGAAAGCCTTTCGTAGTGAAGCTTTCTGCTCTGTCATGACTCTCAGCATGTCAGAAACAAATTAAGGGAGATTGGATTTAAGATATTTCCTTTGAAGCTTGTGTTTATACTAAGACATATTCCATTTGATAGATTACTGGTGTTTGTTAACTGCAAGAAAAATTAAACCATCCCACTGCCATCAGGTTTCCAAGGCTATAAATCTTTACAGGAGGGAATGACTCATTTTTCTCTTGTGAGGTGACTAGTGGATTTGAACTGCTGATATTTTGGTTAACACACACTACCACCAGAGCCCACAAAACCATGAAAGTTAATTTTGACTACAAGAGTAGATTATAATCCCAGATGTTGTACTGTCTAAGGATATGGCTCCTACCACTCATGTTCTTATTCAGCCGGAGTTCTTTTGCATGCTGCTTAATGCAACCTTTCCCTTGGCTTCCAGAACACTACCACTGCCTCACTTCCCCTCCAGCTTCAAGATGCCTGCAAAGGTGAACCAAGTTTTTTAAGACTGAATATGATTCATGATTGATAGAAACCTGTTCTTTGGAATGGGTTTCAGTGATTTTGGTTTTCTGTAATTATTTCCTTTCTTTCTTAATTTTAAATGGAATTGCTTTTTAAAAAACTCCAGGTGGACTTGGCTGTCCTATGCTAAACAGAAGGGAAGAGTAATTTTATGCTTTGATGCTCAAGCCAAAGCATACAGAGCTGAGTGTAACATCTCTGCTTAATTTGGGCTGTGGTTATTGACAGCATTGTGGAAGGAATGTAAACTTCGCCAGCCAGAGCCCCCTGTGCAATCAAGACATATACCTTCAAGTGCTCTCCACCTGTTCCTTTCAGATCTTTTGATCTTGTTCCTTTTTCATTCTGTACTCTCTCCCTTAAGTGTTTTTATTACTCCCCAGAATATATTCTGTAGTGATTCCCCATTCTCATCTCTAGTCTTTCTGTTTCCCACATCTCTCCAGAAAAGCTCATCTAGGAGTTCCTTTAACAA